TTATTCATTTAATTAAGCAGCAGATACTTTTTACAAAATATGATTTCTAAAGGAAGAGCTACTTCATAGGTGTCAAACTCTGGCCTGCGGGCCAAATTACTATTAGAGCTGGCCTACTGGTATTATACAGCTAATATATATATTGTTTAGTATTAAGCTTTGCTTGTTCCATATTCAGTTTTTTAGCAAAACATGTTTGAGTCCATAAGAAAAGATTCATTCTTATATCTGGAGGAATAAATATATTTCAATAAATATTAACGTTAGCCCGCGACTTTGTTCCAGTTTTGAATTTTGGCCCACTGTGCATTTGAGTTTGACACCCCTGAGCTACTTGAAGTTCTGTCAGTGTGTCTGGAAGCACAAAAACAGCTGCACTTAAGCACTGAGCCAATCACTTATTAAACTCTCAGTCTCAAAAGCATTTAAAATGTAAAATAATCAATAAATAAAAGATATGAGTCCAAGTCTATAATTTGTTGTTTCTTCATCAGCATTTTCAGCTGGCTTTCCTGACTTTTTGTCATTTTAGAGAGAATAAGTCATGAGTTGTGCTGCAGGGCTGAAATATGTGTGTGAAGTGCGTGCTAGTTCAGGGAATGTTCAGGGAATTCTTTGTTGTGTTAAACACAGAGAAAGCTTCAGTGAGGACAAAGTTTGCATTATGATGCCTGAGGCTAGCCTGCAGGGTTAAAAGGGAGTACATATATGGATGCATGGAGACACAAAGACATCAGCTGGGAGTTCAGTCAGAGGTTTATGATGATAAACACACGATGAACATCACAGGGTTGCACGTGGAACACAAAGGGCTCTGCTAAGGAAGAAAACATCTACATTACTTGTTACACTTTCCAGCTTTTCATCTACCCTCTCCTTCTTCTATACATCCATGAATCCTCTCTGAGGTCTTCGTCATTTCCACCATTTTTTCACTATCTACAGTATTCCAGCATACTAAAGCCATGCCTAGTGGCCATAATCTACAGGGTGGGCCATTTATATGGATACACTGTAATAAAATGGGAATGGTTGGTGATATTAAAGTCCTGTTTGTGGCACATTAGTATATGTGAGGGGGCAAACTCCTCAAGATGGGTGGTGACCATGGTGACCATTTAGAAGTCGGCCATCTTGGATACAACTTTTGTTTTTTCAATAGGAAGAGGGCCATGTGACACATCAAACTTATTGGTAATGTCACAAGAAAAACAATGGTGTGCTTGGTTTCAATGTAACTTTATTCTTTCTTGAGTTATTTACAAGTTTCTCTTTGTCCACAGCCATTGACATGTCGAAGAGGTTTTTCTTGCTGGAAAAAACTCAGGGAACGTGCCAGCTTCAGTGCATAAAGAGGGAAACACATCATCATGTAGCAATTTCAAATATCCAGTGGCCTTGAGGTTTCCATTGATGAAGAATGGACCCACTATCGTTGTACCCCATATACCACACCAAACCATCACTTTTGTTGTTCCAACAATCTTGGAGGGATCCATCCAATGTGGGTTAGTGTCAGACCAATAGCGGTGGTTTTGTTTGTTAACTTCACCATTCACATAAAAGTTTGCCTCATCACTGAACAAAATCTTCTGCGTGAACTGAGGGTCCTGTTCCAATTTTTGTTTTGCCCATTTAGCAAATTCTGTGCGCCGATCTGGGTCATCCTCGTTGAGATGCTGCAGTAGCTGGAGTTTGTAAGGGTGCCATTTGTGAGTAGCTAATATCTGCCGAAGGGATGTTCGACTAATGCCACTCTCCAGTGACATGCGGCGAGTGCTACGCTGTGGGCTCTTGCTGAATGAAGCTGGGACAGCCACTGATGTTTCTTCATTAGTGACAGTTTTCATGCATCCACATTTTGGCAAATCCAACACTGAACCAGTTTCACAAAACTTAGCAAGCAGTTTGCTAACTGTAGCATGGGAGATGGGTGGTCTCGTAGGGTGTCTTGCATTGAAATCTGCTGCAATGACCCGGTTACTGCGTTCACCAGATATCAACACAATTTCGATCCGCTCCTCACGTGTTAACCTCTTCGACATGTCAATGGCTGTGAACAAAGAGAAACTTGTAAATAACTCAGTTTGGTAAAGTAAATCCGTTGGGCATCTTTCTTTGCCTTTAGACAACAATTCTGATGGCAAAAGAGCCAAACGGGACAGGCCAAAAAAAAAAAAAAAAAAAAAAAAAAGTAAATAGCTCATGAAACAATAAAGTTACGTTGAAACCAAGCACACCATTGTTTTTCTTGTGACATTACCAATAAGTTTGATGTTTCACATGGCCCTCTTCCTATTGAAAAAACAAAAGTTGTGTCCAAGATGGCCGACTTCTAAATGGCCACCATGGTCACCACCCATCTTGAGGAGTTTGCCCCCTCACATATACTAATGTGCCACAAACAGGACTTTAATATCACCAACCATTCCCATGTTATTTCGGTGTATCCATATAAATGGCCCACCCTGTATAACAAATCTGGTGCAATATTGGACATGACTCACCTTTTACTGAACGTAATACTGTGAGGAGGAAACAATGCAATTTGAAGATGTCTTCCACCAGCCAGGGGTCATGCTGGGGTCCAGACTGTTTATTTGTGTGTGTGTGTGCGCGCGCGCGTGTGCGTTAGACTGATTGACAGCCTTGACAGTTTTGGCAGTTATAAGATTCGGAGGTGAGCATTTTGATTGATGATTCCATGTGGGTGGCAGCCTGTAGATTAAAACCTCTAGTAGACAACACACACACACACACACACACACACACACACACACACACACACGCGCACACACAGTTGACTCACATTTATTATTTGGAGGCATACTGTAAGCCATAACTATCATTCACTGTCTTACCGTAATGCCGTTCTGCCGTTACTGTCTCATCTCTACATTTAATACACTATCGAACAAATGTGTGGGTACGTATAGATGAAAGAAGACCAACTCAGTACTTTGCTAAATGAATATAATTTATTCAAGTGACCTCACAATTACAACTATACTTTTATAGACACTGCATGAATAAATAAATAAATAGCTGTAATTTCACTGTCAACAAACATCATTTTCAGTGCTGCATTTAAAGGTAAACTAATTTGTTCCTATGCTTTTTTCTTTTTTTTCCTGGTATATACATTTATCACACAAAAATACAGCGTCATTGTTATTTACGACATAGAGCCAAAAACGTGTCAGTCCACCAGCTGACGTTGATTCTTTTCTGTGTGTGCGTTCCGGTTTGTGGATGAACCCTGGAAACTACACACTCATCTGTTGAGGAGAACATTTACATTCACATTTAAGTCCAATGAGATTGCCTGACACTTTGCATAGCATCAGACCAGACCGCCCTGTTTGAAGCTGAAGCTGATTTATCATCGATCCCAAAACTGGTTCAGGTCAGATCAGGATCTAGTAGGTCCTACTATACCTCAGCTGATATGGCTGCACAAGGGGATCAAGTCCCCTTTGCTCTCTGTAGACTAACTTCAAGGCCATTCTGACATCTTAAAGGATGAAGGCTGGTGTTATTCTAGATCTTTTACATTGCGACCTAATTGCCTAAAAAGGCAAAAATCATAAATAATATGATTGTAACAAGTTTTGCCACTGAAGACGAAACCTTAGCTTTCCTACCCCCAAAACAAAACACCATACTTCTGGGATCAATAAGGATTATGTAAAAGGTTGAAAAAATTTGGGAAACAGCCAGTTAAAATCCTTAAACTTTCCAGATTAAAACGCCTGTTCAAGATCACCTACTGGTGCAAGTCCAGACAGCTTCCAGCACATCTGCTATTTTTTGTCACTCAGTAGCAGTCACATTCACTTGTACCTCTGCCAGTTATGCTTGATCTCCTCCGGTTTGCCAACACAGTAAAGCTTCAACTCCATTTATATTTTTGGCAAGTGCTCACATCGTTTGAGGTCATGTTTTTTCAGATGCCAGTAGAGCAGTAGGACTCCACAATGGTAGTCTCACCCTTCTTGTCGTACTCATGAGCTGATGTTGCTCCTTCATGGTTTGAACCTACAAACCTCGATCAGTTTGAAGCAGATGTTGAGGTTTGTGCACAATTTTGAGGTCTGTGATAAAATCTCACAGAGCAAGTAGTCATAGCAGGACTATCAGAAAGCAATGCAAAAATAGCAGCAGCACAAGAAGCTATCTGAGAAGGTGATCTTGAGGGAAAAATGTAAACCAGGTATAGCTCGCTGAACTTTTTGAGGTCAGAGAGGACCAAAAGACCGACTAACACATTGTTGATTTCGGTCTCACTTGGTAATAATTGTTGACAAAAACATCTAGAATTTTACCAGCCTTATCCTTCAATGGAAAAATATTTCACACATGTCACCTTTTCAACATGTTCCTAAATCACTCATTTTTTACCACTGACGTTTGAATTAAGGCAAGTCCATAAGATTCAAAAAGACACCAACGAACCACAACGATGCTAAGAGGAGATAAACACAGTGAAGTCAACTGGACAACAGTAACACATAACAATGCCAAAAATCTTCTTAACTTGACAGATTTTTTTGTTTCTTTTGTTCTTTTTTCCACACAGGGCAGCAGTGTGTCTGGTAGTTTAAAACTGCCAGGCCCGTGACAATGTAAGGACTTAAACTGAACAATGTATGAGGGTGCTCAATCAAGTAACACTTCAACGTTCATCACTGCTAATATCGCACTGTAACACACTCCTTACAAACCATAATTTTTGAACCTCTGTGCAGCATTAATCAAATGTCCTGAGGGCTGATCGACTTGGGGCCGGATCGATGATGACTGGTGCTACTAACACCATCCTGGAGGAACAATCATTTCCTGTCCCCACTAACCTGCTGTGGCTGGCCAGTCAATACAGCTTTAGGATGAGAAAACAAACTATCATAGGCCGCACACACACACACACACACACACACACACACACACACACACACACACACACACACACACACACACACACACACACACACACACACACACACACACACACATATTTCAAAATGGCTTCTGTGAGTTCATGTTAAAAATAAAAATCACTGAAGTGTTCTTGATTACTTTCAAAGTTCACTGTCGCGTCTTGCATTGAGATTTATTTCCAGGCTGCTATTAGGTTCCAGTCATTTATAAAATCTGTTTGCAAAATGAACATCATGTGCTTTTACTGGTGTCAGTGTTACCATTCCAGCTGTAAATGAATGGTAGTTTAAAGATGTATTCCCATTGTATGTTTGACAAAAACAACAATAGCAAATTGATTTTCATAATGCATTGAAATGAAGGGAAGACAATGGCTGCCTGGAAAGTACAAAGGGAAAGAAAGGTCACGGGGTGGCGTGTAATAAAGTCAGAGCTCCTGTCTAATTACTCTGATTCATGATGATTCAGCAGCACACAATTTAGGTTCAGTGCAGAACTTTAGTGTCAGTAGCAGGAAGCTTATGATCATTCTTTATGTCTCCCTGTGACCATCAAACTTTATTTTAGAATAAATACTGGATCAAATGACTACATCACCGAGCTCAGAACCACTCTTTTGTGCTCCAGACTATTGTTGTCGTTTTACTCACTGTTTTAGTTCACATCAGCTCACATTAAAGAGATTGGGTTAAATTACAATAAAGTTGTAACTTTAGGGACTCGTCAGTACTGACAAGAATAGCAAAGATCAAAACAGAGCTGAGCAGAAGCTTCATTAATCTCATGGATAGGTACTTTCGGTGGCTCCCTTAGTTCCACCACAGAGGATGTATCCGCATATTTTATTTGGCATGGATTTTTACAGTGGACACCCTTCCTGACGACACCCTGCCATTTATCCGGGTAGGGACTTGGGTCAAAATAGTGGGAGTACACTAGCTTGTGACCTCCTGAGGCTGGCTTTGTGTCTCCTCCCAGTTATGAACTGGTGATCTTTCGGGTGTAAGGCGAGCGTGTTAACCACAACACCACTGAGCCACCCATTGCATTCAAATGAATGATAATTTTGCCCTGTATCTATAAAACACCCCCACAATGAATTCTTCTTATGCTGTCACTCATTGATCTCTTTTGTTTAGTGTAATCTTGTCAATACAACAAAGATGGTAGTTAGCTTGCTAAGTGTTGGCAGTGAATGAAAAAAATGTTTTTATGGAACGCTGTTTGGGATTTTGCTGATTTAGTCAGTATCTTCTATTTGGTAAAGTCAGGGTTTGGTTATATAATTATGGACTTCAGCAAGAAGATTAAATCGAGCTGAAAACAGAACATAAAACTTGCAAACATCTACTGGTCTTCAGGTTTAAACAAGACATGGTAAAAATGAAATTTAGTCAAATGTATCTAGCTGTACAACGTGGGTCCTAAAAATATTATTGCTCTATCAATAACGTTGTTCTACATGAAACTCAAAGTATGATAAAAGCTTAGTTGTCAGGTGCATGTAAACGAACTTATGTATATTATGCTTTAAATGATGACTTGTAGATGTGGACACAGTTTCTTGGTTAGATATTGCACTATTTTCATGATCCACAACAAATCCTTGTAGACTTGCTCATATAGGCCTGCTGTACATCCATCCAAAGTTCCTCCGATCACTATAGCAGCACTTAAATGAAAATGGTTGAAGTTTCACAGAGTCGTGATAAGAAAACACAAGAATGAGTGTGGCATGATTCGCACAGATGATTGAGTCCGTTTGCTGTTTCTAGGCAAGGAATCTCAAAAAGAAGGAGGCACCATATTGCCGTCAGAAACTTTTGGAGTCACTTGAAAGCCACAGCAGATGCTCTGTTGATTTGGCTCCCAGTGTGGCAGTAGTAATTTTCCTGAAGAATATTGATGCCTCTTTTGACTGTTCCTTCTTCTTTACATTCCTTGGTTCTAGTTTACTTTGTGCCTTAAATGTCTAATCTTCATTGTGAAAAGCCTCTGGACTAGATGCCCCATCATCACTGAGGACCTCCGTGTTGGTAAAGGTCCCAGCAAGTGAGGCACCCAAGACCTGCCTGACAGGAGCCATCTCTGAAAGAATTATGTTATCATGGTTGCTTACCAGTGTTGCCTTGTCCATTATCTCCTTGCTGTGCTTGGAAACAACAGCATCCAGGAAGTCGTACTTATGTGACAGCATACCACTTTCAAATAGATACTTTGTCAGGTAAGAAAAAAACACATTGGCCAAGAAGGATGCCGCCATGGACACAGACTTGAAGGGGAACCTCTGCTGGACAAAGTGCTCTACATCTCCAGTGAGGTGATGGACCTTCTCCTGGGTCACCCAGCCGGGGTAATAGATGAATGGAGGTAGTTTGAGGTAGGGCTCCCCTCCACCAATGCGCAGCAGAAGACCAAAGATATAACCAGCCACAGAACCATAGGTGTTGGTGCCCTTAACGAACAGTACACTGAGAAGTTGGGGGAATATGATGACATAGACCAGATCAGAGCTCAGGTACCACAGGCCGTATACTGATCCTGTTAACAATGCCATGGCAGTGGCCAGAGCTCCGAACACAAAGATGGTGAGGCGCATCACCCAAACAATCTCCCGATCTGAGGCCTGTAAGGGAGATGAAAGGGATAAAAGAGTAAAGACAGAAACATGACAACTGGAGGGGAATAGGGTGTTAACTTAAATGAAAGTCAGTTCAGATAAAAGATTAGAGCCTACAGCTAAAGTAGTGTCTGTGTGAGGTTGCACTTAGATACGAAAGCGCTTGGAGATGTAGGTTCTGTTTGAAATTATTCACTCGTTTTCTTCTCCATACTCTTATTATTCAGGGAAACTGGATGTTGAGAAAAGGTGAGCTCAGTGGTACAACAGAACAACACTGTAGGGCACTATTTGGTCTTAAAAAAAAACAGGTCTTATCGAGTGATTAATCCAATTGTATTCATTTTTTTCCCTCCAATCATAATTAATATGTTCAAAGGAACATATTAATTATGGAAACCAGAAGAGAGGTATAAATATGTGTCTGCAGCCACTTTTACAACACAACCGAGGTTAGGGTTTGCATTTCAACCAGTGGTGTGGGGGATCTTGGAAAAAAAGCAAGCATATGATTTGCAATTCATTTTTCATTTTTTAGAATGACAATGCTCCCAAATACACAGTTAGTGCAATAAAAGGATGCCTAAATATATTTTTTCCTACCAGAATATAAAGAAAAGCAGGTTGACTTAAGACTTTTGCACAGTATTAGCATGCACAGTAATTTTCACAATTCTGAAAATTAATGTCTGTTACAAATGTGATGGGAATGAATAGCAGGAAATCTCAGTGGGACCAATTTGGCAGATTGTCTAACCATCTAACATTATCTAACAAATAATTATAACACAAACAACTTACAAAGATTTCCATCTCGAGGTTTCGGGTATTAAGCAAATTCGATAAAGTGCACATTTAATTTCTGCTGTAGGCTCTTGTTTGGTTGTATTTTTCGTATGAAAATAAAGTTGATTTATTGATAGGCTGACTGATGTTTGGAACCACTTGCTGAAATTGTGCAGACGTACGTGTATGCTAGGAATATTGCTCTTACCGACTGCCGAAACGCCAGCTGATAAATGTTCCTGGCAAACATGGAGCTGGCTGAGAGTATGGATGAGTCTGCTGATGACATGACCGCAGCTGACACAGCCCCCAGACCAAAGAAGGAGATGTACGGTGGGCAGAGGTGCTGAAGCACTATAGGAAGGATCATGTCAGACTCATCCTTATCCTTTGGAGGGAGGGAACCATATGTAGTTTGGTTCCAGTCTGAATCAGGACATGAGAAACAGATAAAAACTGATAATTGTAAACAATGCAAATTTCACAGCTTATTATTACGGCTCTTATGAAACATTTAGCCAACCAGTCAATCTTTGCACTCAACTGTCAAGATTATCTATGTGTTAAATTAGAAAAACAGTCATTAGCATTTGTCTTAATTATTGGTTAGAACAAAAAACAGAAAGAAAGTGCCTTGCATGAGGTAGTAACACAACGTAACTAAAGCTGAACAAACTGTACCTGGCCCACATTCGCATTTTAAGATTAGTAGCATTACTTTTCCAGCCACCCTGCAGAAAATTAAGTGTACGGATTTCTTTATTACAATTTTTGATCCCTTAGCTTTTCAGACAAAAAAAGTTAATGCTCTCAGTGGATACACATGTTTTAAAGCTGAGAAACAAAAGGCCTTAATGTGCCCAGGTGCCTTAATAGCAGCACAGATTCAATCTGCTGTTGGTCAAAACACAATAAACCAAGCCACAGTAATAATAGTACGAATTAAACTGGATACTGACTGAAAACTAGACCCCAGTTCAACATAGATGAGGGTAATATACTGGTTTGTTAATGATCCGTGGAAGCATATGAGTCAGTATTAAATAATTATGGACATTATGTAGATTAACTGCATTTAACTGTTGTCGATTAATCATTGATAATGGTTAACATCATAAGGGAGCCAATAGTTCTGACAGGCTATGTTGAACTTATTAGATACAAAAGTATGCATGGACGCTGGCTGTACTGATACCCTCATCTTTGTTAAGCCAACATTCAGACGACTATGGTTTATATATATATGTCTTTCTCTACCCATCCCCAGATATTCATAGGCAGTGGTTGATTAGTGCCAGTTCTACAAGTAACGGCTTCAGATGGACCAGATTAATTAGCTCCTCTTCTGATGTAATATTCACTAAATTGCCATGGTCTGATGGCTCTCTCTCCTCTGCACGTCGTGACAGCATCCGTCTGCTGTTTACCCTCCAGACACTGTATACATCTGCATTTACACATCTGAAAAAAGAAAAGGGCTGCTGGGGTGTAAACAACCCCATGAAGCCAGGGTGCTCTCTTTGATCACACTTTCCCGTTTGAATAAAGGATGTGGTTCTTGGATGTTTCGATTGTCTTGTGATGTTTCATTTACTGCTTAATCACTGTGCATGTCTGTGCGTGTGCACATCCGTCTTGGATTAGTCTCTGATTAGCGTGTGTTTGCCTAAAAAGTCTGATTTAACAGCTGCAATCCAGACATAACAGCGTGTGTGCATATAAAGCACCAGTGGCACTGTATAGTGATTCATACTTCTACCTGTCTTTGTTGTCCTTGTAAATCTGGATGCAAATGACAGCTAGCTCCATTACTGCTTAAAGAAAGGATTATATATACTACGCTTGGGTACACTGTTTAAAAAGAACTGTTTCTGCACACTCATCTAATTCAGTTTATTAAAATATTATGGGACCCCATTTTAGCTTTAAGAATAATAATGTCTGATGCACCTGTGGGTGCATATTTGTGTTTGTGTCTCTGTGTGTATTATTACCAGTGGAAGCCCCTATAGCTCCTATGAGGACAGAGGGGACAGCCATGACCAAGCAACCGAAGGCAGCAAGGAATGAAAGGACCTGGGCGTAGGTAGCTGAAGAAGCAGAAAGAACCCGTTGAAAATAGACCTGCCAGGGAATCCCCCCCAACATCTAGAAACAGAAACACCAAACCAATGCATTACAATCAGCAGTCTGAAAAGAATACTGTGAATCTCTTTGTTTCTAGTAAAGATATCCATTTCAGTACTAAGAAACCGTTAAATGCTATGTGCCACAAATGGGTCTCTTAAACATGATGCTTTCATTTTGACTTCAGTGAAAGTGTGTCTGCAATTGACTTTAGAGTTGTATACTGTCTCTCGGTGAAACTTCAGATAAAAGTTATGGCTTACAAGCAAAAAGAAGTTGTCCGCCCAGAGCCAATTGTCTTCAGGCTCAATCTTCCCGAGCCAAGGAGATTGATAGATTGTTTTCTTGGCTGTAACACCGATGTCTGACACGGCAGGATTGGACAGAGCAAAAGGCACACTGATCCACTGAAAGGAGAAGAAAATCATAATGCAACATTGATACAATAAAACGTAAATATGGAATTATTGTATTTTTATACCATTTCAAAATCTGGCTGTTGAAATCAAGTTCTACTCTACCCTGTGTTGTTGATACAAAAGATGTTTTTATCAATTTCATGTTTTGATGTGATTCTGTGTGTATAAATTTAGATCTTTTTTTAAAGTTATGTTACTTAAAAAGTTACTTAAAAATCTTCTAGAACTGATAGAAGATTTGGTTTAAATATTGGCTAAAATCGTTAGAGCTGCTGGTTGAGTAGCTCCCAAACTCACCAAACCCAGAAAGATACAGAAGAGCTGGACCACATCTGTGTATGCAACAGAGTAAAGTCCTCCAACAAGTGTGTAGAAGATGGCTATCAGTGCTGAGATCACCACAGACATGTTGATATTTATATCCACTATCACACTGAGAGTCGCACCTGCATGGAAATATAACCAGTGTGAAGAAGAAAAAAAATATTCACTAAAATCTGGGTAACCTGATGTTTCACTCACAATGAGTTTGGGCATACAATGCAGTATACTGTAAAGCATAGATTAGATTTAAAGTGGTGAGATTCATGATCTCATCCATTGGGATGCCTACCCAAAGCGGACAAAATGGCTGCAGACCAGAAGATTTCTCCCATGAGTGCAGGGATGAACAGCAGACCACCCATCCTTTTTCCATATAGCTGCTGGAAGGGATCTAGCATGGTCACATATCCACGTGATCGCATGGGTTTGGCAAAGAAAAGCCCCCCTGAGTGATGTCAGATGTTGAGGTAATGCAGACAAAAAGCACGAGAGAAGCATTTTAGAAAGTTGTACAGTACTACTAACTTAACATAAAGTGTGCTGATGCTGTATAATAACCTTAATGAATAGACCAAATTCTATATGCTTCAGCAACACAGCTTAAATTTACATTTACTTTAATATCAGTCTAATAGCACAAAGATCAGTCTTCCTACACCTAAATATCATATCAATATGAATTTAATGTAAAGGAATTTCTGTCTTAAAAGTAGGAAAGCATATTAATTTATAGGCAAAAAGTACATTACTACATTAAAACTACATTACATTACCTACATTAGGTGATGCAACTCTTTCCCTTTTTAATCTCGCTATAAGCAGATATATTTATCCAAGTTTTTCTAGGTTTCCTACCTAGTACAAGGCTGAGAGCATAACCAAAGGGTGCCTGTGCCCAGGCCAGGCCGAAGCCTGGGAGGTAGACATATTCTGCTGTTCCATTAATGTAGCCCCCTCCCACCCAAGTGGCTGAAAAAGAAGAAGAAAACTTATTTGTAAATTAACAAATCAAAAGAAAATATACATTTCAAGTTTTCCGAACTGCATGAGTATAATGGTGTAAACTGTGATGGGAATTTCTACTTCTGCCCGCTGCGCAATCTGTGCGTAAAAGACGGAGCGGAAGACCCTAGTCAATGGAAAGTTTATTTATTTTTTTGTCCTTTTGGACCTTACATGGTATGAAAATTGGACAAAATGCGCACGTGGCTGCCGTCGAACAGACACCAAGAAATACAGATTTAAAGACTCACCGGTCATCGTAAATCCACCAACGAAAAAGCCGATGTCCCTTCCCCCAACCATGATATTCTCGCTCCGATCTAAGCCATCGCCAACTCCAGAGTTCTTATTCTTCCACGCAGCCCAGATCCCCACAAACAGAATCAGGACATAGAAGAGCACGATAGCCACGAGACCCTCGACGTGAATGGTCATCTTCCTTTTCTCCGCTTCCCCGCCGAGATCAAGTGCTGCTGCGCGCGGACTGGATACTCATGGAGAAAACTTGGAAGAAACAAAGGAAAAAACCCTTTAATGATACATTTGTGGTTTGTCAGAAATAATAAAAACACACAATCCCAACCCGCAGAAACACATTTTAAGGAGTGCAGACAAACTGTAACTGCAACTACATGGAACTTCATTTCAAAAGCTATCAATTTAATCAACCTGAAAACAATAATGTGTGACAAATACATTTCTTAAAAGAAACGAAACAGAAGCATTTTATCACCAGTGTGTCGGATGTAATACTGGCTAAGTCCAAGTGATGCCAGGCGCTTCCAACGCCGTTAGAAATTACAAAGTATTTCAAATTTCTTTTTCAGGTTTTCTGCGCACATGCACGCTTACTGCAAATATTCAGCTGTTACAGTTTTAATGCTCCTTGTTAACCGAAGTTATATTGGCCTGAACAACTAATTATTTTCCCCAATAATAATAATAATAATAATAATATATATATATATATATATAATATATATATATATATATATATATATATATATATATATATTTTTTTTTTTTTATTTTTTTTTTTTTTTTTTTTTTTTTTTTTTTTTTTTTTATCAAATGTCAAAGTTAAAATTAGTAAACGTGAAAGTGTAACAAGTAATACATTTATATATACTCGCCAATTATAGTTTAAACTCCTCGGGTTAAACTATATTTTAGATAAAATGACCGATTTGCAAATTCCTGCTCGGAAATACTGCGACCATGAATCTTACCGTATCCAGCAGGGACTTCAGCTTGTTTCACTAAATCAACAGATCGGAATCAGAAACGACGCAAACTCGATCCAGTGGTATCAGTCCAAGAGTGCGCACATTATTAGTGTTACTTTAGTTAGTTCTTTACAACAGCTGAACGTGTTTTAAACGCGTTATCCGCCCTCATTTACAGATATTCCTTTCGGCCACTTGACTTAAGTAAGTAGAAAAAACAACGTATTTACAACTTTACGCTTTCAAAGATTTGCACCCACATTTGCATGTTTCTGGTAACTCTATTGTGCGCAAAAGTCGGGCACTCCTTTGTAATGGCGATGCATTGGGAAAAAAATCCGGTCCGTTTTCCAACAGATTCATAAAAACAGCTGCATTGATGAGGTTCGTGCTCAAACTCAAACCTGAGGTTCCCCGTTGCGCTGACACCATGGCGCCAAGAGGCCGGTGTTGAATTATTGAGCTCTCTTTAAATCGATTGTCAATGCAGTAAAATGCAATTACATTCGGCAACCACATATCATTTTAGTAAAGTCATTACAAAATATAATTTTCTTACCTTTGCTTTGGAAAAACGGGTCTAAATAGATCACAACAGCTGGGACTCCAAAAGTAGATTCAAAAAGTGTAAGAGACAAATTATATTTGTGATATATTGCGCTGCCAGTCTGTAATCCTCCTGGACGACCAAACACCATTCAACTATGTTGTTTTTTAAATCACAAATGCTGGTCGGCAGCAGAGAGGGAGACGGACCGAGCGAGGGAGGGAGAGAGGCTGGAGGTGGGTGGAGGGGTGGAGATGAATGGGAGTGGTGGGTTTATTGGGTGCTGTCAGGGTGGGTAGATGGTGGATAAATGTCTTCCAGGGCAGGACGAAAATAGCACCTAATAGAGAATGGCATGACGCACAACCTCTGCGGAAAAGCTTTCCAATATCATAATATCATATTGGCAATAGATGAAACCTTTACTTTGCCAGGTTACATTTCAGGCCTGATTTATGATCTTGCGCAGGTCCTCGCTCGCTGATGATTAAGGCAAGGCGCCTTTACTGCAAAGGCTTGCTGTATGGCGGTGATGTTGAGAATGTGAGCCACGCACACAGGATTAATTTCCACTTTATAAGTCCGCATTACACATTCAACTCTGACGCCTTTTCGTCCAAAAACATCAATCTACTCGCAAGTTCGTGCGTTTGATCAATATGATGTTGAAGTAAACTTTTAGACATTTGGAAGCAGCACAGTTACAGTATTTTATTATATCGCCTTCCTGCACTATCTATTACTGTTAAAGATCTATGAAGGAACCCAGTTCCGCTGTCCATGGTGCTGAACTAACATTTCGTATTTCTAGGTGGTTTAAATCATATTTAAACCGCCCCCTTTAAAAAAAGTATTTGCTTTGGTGAGTACTTCTCTGAGATGTTTAATTTCAAAAAATGATGTTGTTGAAGCTGAGCTCAACATGTGCACGTGAAAGCAGCAGTACAGCAGGGAAAGCCTGTATTGCACATCCATCAAGAAAGGCTTTCACTGATGCAAGAAGTGCTTTAAATTTGTAATTTTTTAACGAGGGAGGAAATAAAGTTACCTGTTTAACAAAATAAAATAAGTTTGATCTGATATAAATTCAAAACAGAGTTTTTATATATCTTGCACATGCCCAGGATCCTAATATTACCATACAGTTTAGCTCATTGAAATCTTTGGCAACAAATCTTTGGCCCAACTCAATGTACAGTTCATGTTTTAACCTGTGATTTCAAAGCAAATAATTCCTATAGATATACGATTTATCCCTTCTTGTGGAGCAGTTCAACAAGGTTTAATGTAAATAATCTTATAGTTTTATGGCATTAAATAGATTTTTTCCATTAACTCATAATGTAATTTATCTAATTGATGTAAATGATGACAACGACTTGCTGAAATAAGATAAGTCACTTCCTTGAATCGTGACATGTCCTCTCATTTAGTGCCTGTGCGGCTCTTTTATACAGTCATTGGTCTGACAGCCTGCCAGAAAGAGGGCAGCTCTAATTGGAGGGTTTTCCAACTAATAAGCCTCAGAAAGATGTCCACAGTGTTACATGTCAGTAGGCAGACAGCCAGAAAAGCTCCGCAAGGTGGTAATAATTCCACATATATGGCTAATGACTCACAATATGTCAGAGCCATTCAAACAAAAAAAAAAGGTGCTCAGATGTAGCGATGCAACTGGTGTCCTATGCAGTACACCAAACAAGGCAGACTAAATAAATACAAGCAGCTCTTCAAAAATGGTTTGGGATGCCTTTTCAAAAGACCTTTGTCGCCATCCAGTGGCTTCGTCAAGATTTACGCAAATCTGAGAATAAGTTGGCAAAAAAACATTGAAATTATATTTTAATGGAGCTTCACAGACATTAACACATACAAAAAAGTTTTTCTGGGTGTTAAACGTCTAACAATCTATTATTTTACAAACATGGTTTTAAGGTATAAATGTCACTTGTGATCATAAATTTGCAACGGCCTTTTCCAGCCCCTTTCATCAGAGGATGCTTACACTAGTAATAATACTTATAGTGTCAGGTTTTATTTTCAGTGTCATGAAAATCATTTAAAACACTGAGTACTGACATAAAATCTTTTTCTTTAAAGGGAACTGCCTTTCAGAAAGAGTTAAATCCCATCTAGGCAGAAGGCCAGATAAATGATCCAATAACATGAGAGTCACAGCAAAGAACATGGAATATCATTTATATCGTCTTTTCTGTGATGATTTCCTATAAAACACTGCCACCTTCTGGTCCTTCATAGGAAAAGCCTTACAGGGTTAAAGCTTCATAAGACTAGCCAAGGCTCTTGGTTGTTTATGTTAGAGGAAAGACAGAGGCAAATATCTGTTCAAATCTGACTTTGGTGTTTTGCATTATGGGGGCCTTCTCTTTTCCAGCTGATATCCTCTTATGGGTATGCAGGACAAAAAAGGATCCATGTCGTCTCACAGTTATTGTTTCAGTATTCCTCTTAGTCTTAGACATAGTTATTGAGCCTATAGCCACTGCTGGAAGCGGAGCAAAGCGAGGGAGCATGGTTGCCTTTCAGGGCCTCGGGGGGCCTGTAGGGTGGAGCAGGCGGATGTAAGTTGTTGAAGACAGGGGGAAGATGTGATGACTGACCCCTCTGCATATGGGGGGGACTCTGCCGTGACCTGTCGCCACTGCTGCTCCAACAAAGCACCATTCCCCCGGCCAGACTGAGACAGGCCGAGGCGTATCCGAGATACACAGCCAGTCCGATCTCATACTTCATTCCACTGTGAATTAATGGGTTGTAGAAATTCTCGATGACCTCGTTGGTGGTCCAGGACACGGTGACCAGGCAAAGAAGCCCAGCACAAAGAAAACAAATCCCACCGCTCAGGACCAGGGGAGATTTAATCAACGAACCCCGGGCAAAGCGGGTACATTTCATCCCAGTTACAGAGACCAGAGATGCCAGGACTGAGGTGAGACAGGAGATTACCATGAGCGCCCGGGCAGCCTGATGTGGAGAGGGAAACAGTAGACGACTATTAAACTTTGGACTATAAACGAACTCTTACTTTAACAGGTCTGGGCAATGAACCTGTCAATTAATATACTGCTTTTTAATAAGTGCAAACACTCATATTCTAGCCTATATTAAGAGTTATTGTCCGTCCCTATTAATAAATATCCAACACGTTACACTAAATTGAGACTATGTATGTTTTTCTGAATAGTGAGTCTGTTGAGTTTAATAATAACAGCAGGATGACTAAAAACTCACATAAGAAAATATATTCATAGATATTAATATATAATAATATTAGATATCTATAGATAGATAGATAGATAGATAGATAGATAGATAGATCGATCGATAGGTAGTATAATCTATTTATTATATTAATAAAATCCAGGAGTGTAAAGTGATTAAAGCAACATAAATTTAATATTCAAGAGTCCTTAAAAGAACAGGCTTCTTGACCTTCCACCTACCTGCCCATCTTAAAACTTTATTCTAAAAGTGAATATGTACTAATGAGTTGGGCTATAAGTATTATTTTCATTAGTATTTAATCTGATAATTAATGAAAACTGAAAACTTCATATTTAAATTGTTCATTGTGCACATAAACGCCTAACTGGGTGTAAAGGTGGAAAATAACCATATAGCTATAAAGTTTCTGTGCAGCATGCTAATTGAAACTGTGTATTGGAGTTACAGAGTTATGTTAACATGCACGGTTGCTATCAAATGAATTTAAGTTAATAATTTTATATTATTATATGACAGGTTAGTAACTGGTTTTGTTTATGAGATGTCAGAATTCCAAAAAGGATTTTTAAAAAGATGCTTACTTCATAATGATCGACTAAACTAATAAGGTTTTCAGCAGGTTTTCAGATAACTTATTATGAAATAAAAATAAAATAAAATAAAATAACCACCCTATATGTGTTTTGAGATTTCTGCTCTTCTCATTTCTCTACATGTTGGTGTTCGTGTAGTACCTGCAGGTCGGGTGGCAACGCCAGCAGAGACCTGTACAGCTCGCACTGGTAAATACCAGTGCTGCGCCAGACACACTCCATCCACAGGCCCTTCATGTACCCGGTGGCTGTGATAATATTACCATCCACATGAGCTCTGCTGCGCCAGTGAGGGAGCAGGGTTGCAACTATAGTTCCTGTAAACCCCAGCAATCCTAAGAAGAAGCCAAGGAGCTGAAGCGCCATGCTGGCCATGATCGGCTCCTTTCAGAGAGATCCTGAAACGGCAAAGTATGAAATTACCGTCAGTAAAAATATATAAACTCTAGTAAAAGGCAGTTAGCAGCATTTCAATGTCCCTTAAAACACGATGACGACTACATTGGATTCAGATGTTTCATAAAAATCAGCAAACATAAACCAATTTAAATACATGCCACTTAAAAAGAAAACTTTCAGAACAAAACTACTGACTGTCCCGCAGGCTGAAATGTGGCTGGATTACTCCTCTTATCGCAACGGTTCCCAGCAGTACAGTAATTCCACTGAGCTCACATCCAGTCACAGAGTCTGAGTCATTCCTCAAGTGTCTCTCCCGAGTGTGGGCACAAATAGCTGTGGAAACTTTCAGTATTCTGGCATCCGTCTCTGGTGAGTGGCAGGTGACTGCATGTGTAACTAATGAGTGCGGTGTTCAGCTTCACCTGTTTAACGCTCTCCTCTGGAGGGCAAACCACAGAAGTCTATTTGTTAAGCTCTTCGCCGCCCCTCAAGAAGGCAGAGAGAGAGGAAATTAAACATTTACAGAAACCACCCAACCTGAGAAGCACCGCTATAAGCCACTAACTTTGAAATTTTTCACAGCTCTGCAGGGTATTTGAAAGCGAAGGACTGAACGACTTGCTGACAGAGCCTCCAGCCGCTGGGCCCCAAACTGTGACAAGATAGCAGTGACTGCTGTTGTACTAATTGGCCAAATTATGTTATTTTTCAATGAAAATTTCTGACCTGACATCCTTTGGCATTTAGTTTTACATTTGCAAATGCATGCTGAGCCCTAAAAACACCATAACATTCAGCTGTAGGCTACAACTACAGATCCCCTACGTGAAAAGTGTGAAAAGGTAAAAAACATCCATGCTTAATCATTTACTTTTGTTCCCTAGACTTTATGTCTCTGAATAATACAATGTGGTAAATAAACGGACCAACAATACTATTAATTAAGGGTGCCTTTTTGCTCCCGCATGAATAAAACTGACTTTAAGTTTCACACCAAAGACCAAACTGTGCTTATACAGACCCATTGTTTTGAATTCCTCAGAGAACAGAAGCTGTTTATGAAGCCTGATTATTGTGCAGTGTTAGACCTGGCACTGCCAGAGCCTCTTAAAATATCACATACACACAAGCTTCCTTGTCCTTATTTAATGATTGACTATGCTGAAGGCATAACAATTAAGCAATACGAACAAAGGCAAAGCTGTGACAAGTGTCTTGTTTAAAATTTGCTTGCCCTGAAATTAGTCCAGTTTAGTCTTTGACTACTCTGCAAACCACACTGCAATACTTACAATATAAAACTCAATGACTGCTGCGTAGCCTTACCTGTACTTCTAACATTTACTTAACAGACTCCACATTTAAATACTCACCAATAAGAGGACTACAGGACCATCATCACAGGTGTCCAGATGGTATACTCGTCCTGAGATGCAGAGATGTACTTCCAGATAAACAGGGCCTTTGACTCCACATTGACCAGCTCCTTCTGTTTCTGCTCTTGTCTGGACAAACAATCTGTGGATGTGTGTTTGTGCGCTGCAGGACTGTCAGCTGCGTGACTGGCCTGTTTTAGATATCATCTTCATCATCATCATCATCGGCATTATCCCTGTCAGTGTCGGCAGCATCATGTCAGAGATGACATGAGAGACAGTCCCGCTGCTGGCTTCTTGCTCCTAACAGATAAACAGGGCCAATGTCAAATGTGGACCTGGAGGCAGGGCAGCGCTGCTAAGCTGAGGCAGACAAAACAGACATTGTCTTCGCTGGCTGTGCTGTTTTTGTCTCAGTAAATCAGTTCTGCACCTACAGATCTGTTGATAATAATAATAAAAACAAGAATAAATGAACACAGAATTAAATCCAACAACAAACTTGTGGAGGAATGGTTAATGTTTATTAACTGCTATTATAAGCAATTTAAAGAGACAAAACAAAGCTGCAGTCAATTAAGACTGTTTTTAACTACGTGACTTGCACATTAGGTAATTTTAGTTAACTAAAATTAAAACGATGTGTAGATGTAATTTAGCTACCTTAAATAAACAAAAAAATACAGCAAATGTATTTAGATTTAGTCAACACTACCAGCATGAGAAGGCTTTGACTTATATAAATCTGTGTATTGCAGCCTATATAAAACTAATAATAGAAAGTAATGAAGATTTAACTTTGTCTGAAACAAACAAAGAAAAAAAACTCACCTGAAAACAAAACATGAATAATAATGAAACTAGTGGACAATAACTCCACTTGTACATACTGTAGGGCAATCCAGGAAATGCTGGTGAATTCATTGAAGTTTGAGCTTCTCTCTCCGTGCTTTTCCTCATTCTGTGTCCCAAGTTTAACCTGGCGTGACATCCTCTTGGTATACAAGAGCATTTTCCCAGTCTGTCCCCTGGGCCCTTCATACAACTCTCTGTGACAGCTCTATAGTGAAGAGATGATCCTCTCCAAGGTCTGCCTGTGGGAGACGCCATTTGAATGTGGAACACTTAATAATCTTAGTTAAGCAGAATAATCCTGTGATTAGCAGCTGAGCACGGGTGGTTTGTTGGACAAAGTGCTAGAGGGTAATGTGTGTAGTACAGGGCATTCTTTTTAAACTGGTCTTGCCTGTGCCACACATATTTTGTCAACACACTTTATGTGGATTAACGACGAAACAGCCTACAAAGTCACATATCTAAAAGCCCCTGCTTACGCACAAAACACACACATAGACACAGGTGTTTTGGCCATTTGGCTGATTAGACCTCTGATATGGGGGTTGAGGTTGGTTGGACCAATAATGGGAGTTAAGTGAGGTCAATAAATTCTATCAGCAAACCATAATGGGAAAAAAGCACTGGTGTGGATGTCATACAGGGTCTTTCAGGTCACAAATCTGTATTTACTGCACACATTGTGGCTTCTCAAAGCATTACAATTAGTTATCACGAAAATGATAACTCCATTTAGCACTGGGCCACACCTAAACTAACATAAAACCACTTTGCTTTCCTGACATGTCAAAATGTCTGTTGTGAATATGGTCTATATCAGGGATATTAACCTATTTTACATTGTGGCCCACATACCTCCCACTTTGATCTTAAGTGTGATGGACCAGTGAAACTCACCCTTCTGTCAGTGCAAAGAGGTTTATCTACATATGTAATCCTTGAGATATCTTAATATGAGAAAAAATTTAATTTGTCACCATGACTTGTTGGGCTTAAATTTTTAGAAATGTGTAAAATTGCAGAAACAGTACTGGTATCCCAAACTGTTTCTGTTAATTAACAGAAAATGCAAATCAGCATTTTTTTATTTTCATTTTTACCTTGGACGCATTTTGAAAAACTCACTAGTATATAGTGAGATAATGTATTTATTATATATATGTATATATTTAGTCTTCGAAAGTCAATTTACTAATACAAGTAAACATACTACCCCCCCACCACCACCAAAAAAACAAAGACAAAAAGCAAAACAAAACAAAACAAAACACATAGAGACATCACAAATTACTTTTTGCCACAATACTTTGCCAATTCCAGTCCCCAGGCCTTATATTTGACACCCAGGGTCTATTGGCTTGATAATCGGGTAATGGAACAATGCCACACAACATACATAAAATCTGGAACTGAATGTAGGCTATTTAAAGGCTATATAAAAGAACTGACTGTATCATTTAACAACTATCTTACTATTATGTATTAAACATTAATAATACCTTATTTCATTATTTAATAATACCATAGAGGAAAAGTCTCTATGGCTTTCTGGGATAACAGCTAACAGCTAACCCAGCTATTAGCTACAACTAGCTATCTGCTACTGTTTTTCAATGAGCAATTTTATTATTTTTTTCTTTTTTCGTTTGATTTACTTACAGTCTGTGCTGACATTTGCTTTCTTTTTAGCCTTAATTTAGTAACATATATATAAAGGTGTTGTAACTTAAGGATATAAATATTTTCCCATCCCTACCGCACAGATGAAAGGAAAGAGAGAGAGGGGGAAGTTTCGCGCCGTTGTCTGCTAATGTGTCATTAAAGAAAGCAGCTAGGTTAGCTCCCAATACCTTTACTTCCAGGATTTGCTATTCACGGTTTTATTTGCACAGGTAAGATTTTGTAATGCCAGCTTGTAGCCCTGTTAACTCTGTGTCTGAATTTGTGACTCTTGTGAGGCTCAAAGTTGATGAAAATGTAGTTTTATGAGTTACTTTTACCTAACTATGTTAGCTGACTTTGTGTTAGCCGAGTGTTTCCCAGTCATATTTGCTTATCTTTTTGACAGTCACTTAGCCAGGGATGACAATGGTCAGAGGGAAGCCATTGAGAAATGGTGGTAAGTATTCACAGACACATAAGCCTTACAAGAAGAACCGTAATGGGCCCACACCTTCTAGGACCATTATGACCCGCAGCCAGTGCTCCACTAGCTGCACCAGCTTCTTCAGCAGGATCCCTGCAGAGGTGTTTGACATGATCCTAGACAAACTGTCTGGTGAGTTTCACCTATTATTTTGTACCTGTAACACTGTTCCCCAATTCATATATAATAGGAGCTCTGTTATTTTGTAAGGGGCTTTTGGGTACAGCTCAGACCTTTTGTTTGTATAACTTATATGAGGTGCAAAAGCTATTACCAACATACATGTGTAACTATGTGTAATTTTAAGCACTACTTTTACAACACTTTCTGCAATAATAGCTCCATTCTGGAATGTCCTGATGTAATTGCATTTTTGATGGATGAAAATGTGTTTGTGTTTTTTACAGTGCTGGAGATCAGTGTGTTCAGCATGGTATCAAAGGAAATTACTAGATATATTGCAGACTACATCTCCACTGTGGCCTGGAAGAATAAAATGATCCTCCAAAGCTTTCACCACTCCAGCTGCATTGAACAGAAATCCACCATTGGACACTACAGAGACCTCGGTATTTCAGTGTTTTGTTTAGTATAGCTCTTCTTGCTGCTTTTTAAGGTACCACATGTATTTCTGACAGCCTCAGCTACTATTTTAACATACCATCGAATGGTAATGTGACCTCGTGTTTGATGTCTTAGGTGTGTTGTTCAAGAGGTGTACCCTGTTGCTACCCACAAAGGACAGGTTAAAGTTTATCTTTAGCAAGATTTCACAGGTAAGAAAGGGGCAGGTGAGATGTCAGGCTAGAACAGAATACTGTAACTTTTTAAATGAGTTACATTTATTTTTAATTTTCATGAGTGAAGGCAACAATACATCTGGTTTTTGTAATGTGTTGCAAAAGTTTTAAAAAAATTAAACTTTGATTGCATTGCTGTTTTATGCAGCACAATATGGTGGCATTTTAACAGGTTTATTAATAATAATTATATGTATGATGTCAGGCAATTAAATATTACATATAATTTAGCATGATGGTCCTAATTTGTCTACATGTATTAAACATATATGAAATGTTGCTATTGCAAGAACTGAATATTTGCAATCCCACTTTATATCGTTGGAAAAAAGGCCTCTCTTATTGTTGTCTTGATATGTTTCAGATTCCCTGCTTCCTGTTGGAGAAATGTGTAGCACCAGACTGCTTTGCTTTCACCAGCTTTGGAGTCTTCCTCCAGGTGAAGACCCTCATGTAACGACTCTCATGTTTATGAAACCTGAATCTAATAAAAGGAAATAACCAACCAGAGCCCCAAAATGTGATAACATGCAAAAGATAAACTTTTTAGCAACAAAGACTATAGATATGTTACAGAGATCTCACCCTAAAGTTACTGTACAATAGACGGTCTTGCTTAGGTAGTAATAATAGCATAAACAGTAAGAGAAAAACACAGTACTTTACGTAAGGAAATCTTTGCTTGGTGTGATTAATTTTTGTCTTTAGTTTTTCAGCTTGGTGTTAAAAAAATATCTGTAAAAAAGAAATAGAAATATTGAGGGGTGTTTTATTGATTCTTTTACAGACTCTGATTGCAGGGTGGGATGAGCTGGAGTGCCATAGAGTATTCAACTTCCTCTGTGATCTAACAAACCTGCAGCAAAAAACTGAAGGAGTCATCACTGCAAAACCAGGTGTGTGTGTTCCAGAGTTATCCAGAGAACAAAGCAGAAATATGATGCTGAGAACAATCCATGGCTAAAGCTTCAGTTACAGCCTCTTGCTGAGCCTGTGTCTTTTGTGATGGTCTTCGGGAGTTATGGATAAATTTGTATGTCCATTACCAGGTGTGAAGTGGTATCAGGAGCTGCAGCTGCGGCTATTTTGCCGTCAGGTTCTTTTGGACCCGTGGCCGAACCAGCCGGAGTGTCATTTCTGGCTGATGCAACTCCTGAAGCCTTGGCCCTTGGTCAGCCAGGCCCACTTACTGTTCATCCTCTATGGTCCTCTGCTGCCTGAGGGTGAGATAACGTATTACTGAAATATTAATGCAGATGGATAGTATCGACATTATGGAAACATATTAAAGTCATAACTACATCCTGTTATTTTCAGTGCAGCTTTGTAAATTCTAGCATGTTTTAACCTGAAAAAGGGCTTATTGCTCCAGAGAAAGTGTCAGCAATGATTTTTTTAAACAAAGCATAAAAATTAGAGAACCAGAAAACCACTTTCAGTGTTGTGAGGTGGCACAGGAGACCTGAGTAGGTTATGCTGGTGTAGTACAATTTTTGACATTTAACATAATCATTTTTGTTTGTTAAAGTAGTAGTGGTGCAACGGATCAAAAATCTCACGGTTCAGATCGGATCACAGTTTTAAGTCACGGATTGGATCAATTTTCGGATCAGCAAAAAAAGAAAAAAGACAAAAAATTAACATTTACTCAAGGCGCTTTATATTGGAAGGTAGACCCTACAATAATACCGCTCATTATATCGCACTCCGCTGTGATATAATGAGCTGTCACGGTCACGTAGCTTTCCGTTGCCCTGGAGGTCCACCCATTTGTAGTAGTTAGGGCAACAGAAGATGCCTGGGACAGTTCAGCCATAACTTTAAACTTTTCCTGCTCATACATGCTTGGAACGATCTTGCCACTAAAGTGGACGCGCAACGGGATATCATAGCGTGGCTCAAGCACGTTCATCATAGTTTAAACCCCTTGTTTTGCACAACAGAATACCCATCTGCAGCTAAACACTGCAATAGCTTTTGTAATAGCTTTAGCCCGGTCGGACTGGGCAGCAAAGGGCTGCTTAAATACCGCAATTTCCTCTGCTCCTCCACTTGGACCGTTAGCGCTGGCCATAACTATCGCTTGACAGACCCACCACGTGCACCATACACATACTTTTTTTTCTTCTTTTTCGAATCTTCGGATCACGTGCGTGCCGAACCGTGGAGTGGGATCGGTTCGGATTACGGATCAACCGTGACCCGTTGCACCACTATAAAGTAGTGTGCAGCATTTAATGATAAATAACTGAGGTGTACTTCTTCATGCAGGTACACTCGGCTGGCAAGATCTGGTGGAGAGGGGGCTTCCTCACACCGCTCTGTGGCACTTAGCCAAGGCCATCCTCTTGCTCTTTGGCAACCTACAAGTCAAAGGCTGGAGCACTGACTCGATGATCACAATCATGGAGGAGCTCATTGGTACGTTTGATGAATAAGAGAGAGATGCACACCGTGAGTTACAGATTCCCAAGCAATAAGATGAATAAAGGATCTGTTTCAAATCTATGTAAAACATTTCAGTTTAATGATTGTAAGTAGAAAAATCTCATATAGACTCCCTCAAGTGATTGTAGATGCTGGCTATTTGTTTCCTTGCTGTCTCCAGTCATTCCTCATCCGTGGCATGTGGAGAATGTAGCTCGTCTTTTGGTGCTTTGTGGCAGCAATCTCTGCTACACTGTTCTGGCCAGCAAGGCTCTCAATGGACGACTCCTTGAGATCTCAAGAATCATCGTCTACATCATACTGGTGAGAGAAATAATTTCCTGCTTTTATCCTAAGGTATTTATACTTCGTTTATAGTTAAGTTTGGTATATTAGAAAACTATTGCCTTGTAACTGAGAATGAGCAGTTGCTTGAGCCAGAACCAGCATGTGTAAGACTAAAGGTATAGTGAGTTTTGGACGAGCTTGCCATTTTTGCAAAAGCCACATTAGAAGGAAATCTGTGTGTAAAAATAACAAGAGCCGAGGTTCAAATGTAAGACCTTTCTGCTTTGGGGTGGTGAGTTAGTGATCTCCACTCCCTGATCATTTTCCCTCCATGTAATTTAATTAAAAATTGTCTCCAAGTTCACCCAAAATGTAAAAACTGTCACGGCTGCCGAGGCGAGCCGTGTGGATATAGAAGGAGGACCCAAGATGCAGGCAGTGGATGAGATACCGGTGGTTTTATTTACAGAGGTGTAGTGGCAAACAAACAGTGGGGCATAATAAACAACTAAAGACACCTAAACTGGGAGAACTAAAATAACAGACCTGGGAGCATATGACAACGGATGATGAATAGCAGAGAGACGCAGACGAGGAACAGGACACCGTGGAACACAGGGTAACAGACTGACACAGAGTTACACAGACTGACACGGAGGAACACAGACGAACCGGCAACAGGCAGGAGAACACACAGGGCTTAAATACACACACACCAGTAATCAGGGGATGAGAGACAGGAGGGCAACACAGCTGGGAGGAATCTGGGCTGACAGGACAGGGGAAACGTAAACTGATCACACTCACATACGACGCGGACCTTCACAATAAAACAGGAAACTCAGATACATGGAACCAGACAAGACATTGAACTAAACAGACAGATTCAGATGCAGACTCAGAGGCAGATCGAAAATATAACACACAGAACTCAAACAATAATAATCATCATCATCATAAACTAGAAAATGATAACTAAAAGCGCTGGGTCACCGACCCAGGACCATGACAAAAACAGAAAATATATAAAGACAATATTCTTATGTATTATTTTCTTTTCTTTCTTGAAAAAAAAAAAAAAACAGCAAAAGGAATCACTTGCTCTGTCCATGGTCCTAATATTGATTGGCTATTTTGTATCTTCCCCGTAGGGGAATAGTAGCAACTTTAATATATATGTGTTTGAGCTCATTAGTGTTGTCCCTATTAACAGTGTCCCAATTGAATTTTATGTTTTATTCCCAGCACTGAAAATATCTTACCTTTGCTTATTTTGACTTATCATTACAGGAAGAGCAGAAACATTATATCATTCAAGACTGGCTCAATGTGTTCTTCTTGTGCCTTCACATTAGGTGTGTGAAAAGGACGGCTATCACATGAGTTGGGCGGTGAAGCTGGTGCAGGAGATCTGCAAGGTCTTCAATACGCCCCCGGAAAAGTTCTACTTCATCCAGCAACTGGAAAACACATTTTCAGAAGTCACCCGGGAATTCTTTGAGTTTTCTGTAGCAGGTGAGGTTGCGTAGCTTAGCTTTCTGACCACCACGGCGGACAGCATCGCTCCAGCTGTCGCCCTGATCCTTTTGTAATTTTGCATGCAAACTATTTTTTGTTTCTATAGCCCGTTGCAATACAGTTTCTTAATGTTGGAGGTGTTCTGGGTAAACTCCACTAGGAAGAGGCCCAAGGGTTGACTCTGAACTTGTTGGAGACATTATATATGCCTTTATATGTCTCTGGCTCTCCAGCAAGAATCACTAAACATTGCAGAGGAAAAGGATGTCCGCTTAGGATGACCACATTTCTGTTAAGCAGAAGAAATGGATGGATTGAAGGAAACCTTAATGGGTAGACAAAAACCATAGATCCCACAGTGAAGGCTTGTGGTCATGCGAGGTTCCATTTCTATTTATTTTATTTATTTAGTGGCAGTTCACAACTATAGTGAACTAAAGACTTTATATTCTCCAAGTTAAAAAAACCCCACGGGTTTGTTCCAAGGATAAAACTCCCAAACACGCTCCACAGACATAGGCTTCCCACCTCAACCGGACAAAGGACTCAGCAGTACACCTGCACTTAAAGGACAAAGGAGACTTTCGAAGATGCTAATGTTTACATTTTGAACATCAGAAGACAGATGGTTTTGGAAAGGAGTAAAGGAGACCATGCCCACTGTGAATGACTGTAATTGAACAGAGGTGGTGGTTTAGGACACCAGCTATAAGCCAGCAACAATGCAGCCTTAAGATCCATTTTCAGGCGTCTCAACCCCCATTCACACCTTGCCTCAGGTTACCTCAGTAGATCACATGATGGGGTCGGGCAAAGTCTGACAATGGCTTCCCAGTGATGGTAATAATTCACACATTTCTTCCACACCTCGGCTCATTTGACGACTCACACGATCAATAGTGGGTCAACAACCCTCAGGACCACCTGAAAAGGGGAAAATCCTCACTTTAAATACTTTGTGGGGCTCTTCACCATTTGATTTTAGTACAGAAGAAGCCTTTTGGATGAGAGGTGACCTAAAGTTCAGTTGCCTTATTATTTTAATCTCTCAAGAAAAAATTAAAAACATTTCCATGATGTTATGTGGTCATTCTAACCTTATTGAATGAAGGAACAGCAGAAAACTGCAGCACTGGGAAAACTACGGTAACAAGCATCCATGAACCCTGTACCACCCATGCTGTGTTCAAATAGACTGGGAAGTTAATGTGCTCATTTAAAAATGTTCAGATGTACAACAAGAAAGTTAATATATTCACATAAAAAGAGGAAACACATTTGCAGTAAGGGTGTGTGTAAGCATGGTTAAGGTGTAGATGAGAAAATGATTTTGTCTGCAGGTGGAGCAGCTTGTTTTGAAAGTGTGTGTGTGTGACTGTGTACTTGTGACAGCTCAGACAGATGGCATTTACAGGGAACTTATTATTTTCCTTATTTTAGTGAAAACATTGGGATGGATGTGTTTCCACCTCCTTTTTTCCCCTCCTACAGCAAATCCTTGTGTGAACATTTAAATTCTGCTCCACCAGTGTTAATGGCTTCTAATACATCTGGAGGAACCCGCTTGTTACTCTACGAAAGTGTGGATTAATCCCTGCTATGAAATGAATGGACTGGACTGAAAAGATCGGGCAGTAGCTTTAAATAAAGGCCGTAGAGTGACATTTCTAGACTCAGCAGCATACTGAACGTGTATTTAATATAATTGTATCCCTTACACCAGTAGTTCCCTTCCCACATTATTTATTTTTAACGCAGCCACTTTACGACCCCACAGAGGAACCTCTGAAGCATATTTAGACTGATATAGAAAGTCAGTAATGCTTTTATCTCTTTCCAGGGAACCACTTTGATGACAGAGAGACTTTCCAGACCCTGTGTATCCTTCTGGACTCCTGTGCTCACTTCCACACTAAATTTCTTCACATGTTCCTCAGATAGGAATCATGCATATTAAAAGTGACAAGATGCAGAGGAGCGAGGGAAGAAATGGGAAGAGATAAATGTCAATAATGAAAGGGCTTAATGAATGAACTGAATGATAGAGAGTGACGGGATTTTGTAAAATCAGTTCAGATTTAGACAGACTTGAACAAAAGGATGTTGCCATGGCGCTCAGAAAGCTGGGGGTCGATTTGAACCTTCACCTGTAGATTGAACACACATCTGTTTGAATAGCTGTTCAAATCGTATCACTATTTATACAAATATTTGTATCAAAGTTTTATAATCTTGTTCTTAAGACAGCTTTGAAGTTGACTTTTATTATACTATTTAATATTTATTCATTACAGTAGGGTTATTTAACTTTAACTATTTAGACTATTTATTTGACAGTTTATTTATTCGCACAACATGTAAGTGTGGTACTCACTAAGTGGTTCGTTGTGCTTCTAATTTATTAAAGTGAAATTTTTACTTTGATTTTGTCTCAGTTTCTCCGGCATGTATCACGTCTGCTACAAACACAGCATACACTCAGCAAATAAGCTTTTATTAGACAGTGCAATATTCAGCATTGACAACGTTTTCAAAAAAGGATGTAATTAAGAAAGCATTGTGTCAATAAAAAAAGCAGCTTCAATAAATAAAAAATGTACTGTATACAGAAACAGTATAAATGATTATTTTTAGTTTACAGAGTGTACTCATAATGGTATATAACAAGGAAATCTATCAGGGAGTGCTTTAAATAATCAGAATATATTTGATATTTTTCTTTTTTTCCCCAAAGGTAAGTAGATCTTAGAGTTATTGCGTGCTCAGGAATTTGTAGGTTATTTAACATGTAAGTTTAAGGCCTACAACATCAAGTGTAATGAATACTCCAGATGATGAATGAGATCCAGTTACCATGTCCCCTTTGTCCGTAGTCACGGCCATTTCAGTCATTCATGTGTTCATTGTTTTCAAGTGATCTGACAAAAGGAAAACAGAATTGTGATTGGGCTTTTTTGTCTAGGGGTGTGGAAACAAAAAGTAACTTTTATTAAACAGAAAATCAGCTAATTGTGGTATTTACAGAGGACTATGGATGGAAACAGGACATAGAATACAACACATAGTCGAGGAAAGGTCTGATTTAGGCAGGATTTACTTCCCAGAGAGTGTTTTAAATACATTAGAAATACATTCTACAATCACAATCACAGTTTTATAACACCGTCACAACAATAAAGCATAATTATACTTACTGTGCAATTTGATCTAAGGGTATGAACAAAACAACAGCACTTAATACAAGATGCAGAAAGTATTGACATTTAAATTTTCCGACCCTCTTTCTCTTTCAGCCCAGTATGACATCATTAAGTTTACCTTGTAGCCAGTCCAGCCCTTCCTGAAGGCCCTCTCCTTTGATAGCATTGCTGGCACTGAAAAATAAGATGTCCAGGAGTTAATCTGCTTGTGACACACATTCACTTTCTCATGACTTTTCTTGGATCCTGGACATTTAAAGCTGTCAAGCTTTTAATCCATCACTCTACCATCTGTCTAATGAGTAACCAGGTGGAACACACACATACGCACTGATGGCATGTTGCCGTGCCCCTCGGTAATGTTTAACCCATGAACCATAGACAAATCAAATAAACAGGAAGTGGCCGGGGAGCAAACGGTACACGTTATCTTTATTTAAGATTTCAAGCTGTAAACTTGGGGAGAATAAAATGGAGTAGATAGGGGTGTGACGAGACTTGGCTCTGTTCAGTAAGGGCACTTCCTCGAAGACTACAAACACCTGAATGACTTTGGTAACAAATTACTCAACAGTGTCTCTGGAGGTGTTTTTATTGTGTGCTACTTCTCAGCATGGTGAACTCAGGGTGGCAGATAAATTACCAGATGTGCCAGGGCTTGTCTTTGATGTTCTCCAAACACAACATCTGTGAGACCTTGACAGAAGACATTGCATCCTGCAGATCTATCTTGTTAGCAAAAAATAATACTGGTATCCTTTTGCTGCGGATATCTGCATAGAAGAAAAAATGTCAAGACCAGTTTATCGTGATCTAAGAGCCAGAGGGAAAAAAAGCTTTTAGGAGGGATTTTTTGGTTTTTATTACACTACAGATAGTGTTAGATGTTGGACAGGATATCTTCAAATATGATCACTCTACTTGATGCTACCTAGATTAAAGCCACTAAAATGTATCAGTTCAAGCTTATAATGAATGGTGCAAATATTACTTAACTAGGGTTTAGATAACTGGCCTCATAATTCAGGCATTTTAAACAAGTTATACACACAATCTGCATCAGTTATATACTGTTTCTTTTGGTTTTTATACCCAGACAAACTAAATTGTGTAGAAAATGTGTCTAAAAACAAAGATTGTGTACCTTCATGGTTGAGAAGAGTGTCTAGCTCCTCTTTAGCAACAACCATTCTCAGCTTGTCACTGCTGTCAATGACAAATATGATGGCATGGCTCTCTCTACAGAAGATAGGAGAAGGAGATGTACAGTGTCAGTTTTGAAAGTTTGAATATCTGACCAGCAAAAGGCTTGTTGTTCATGTTTGTGTGCCCTACTTGTAATAATGCTCCCACAGGTTCCTGTATCTGCTCTGCCCAGACATATCAAAGACTGTGAAGGACAGGCTGCATGCAGAAAGGAGGAGAGAGGAAGGAGGAAAAAGACAGCTTAACATCATAAAAAACTGCTTGATTAGTCATTTTAAATATGCTGTAAAATTGCGGAATTACATTCTACCTTGAACTCTTGAACTTTTCGATGTTGAAACCAATTGTTGGGACGATTTCTTGTGCCTGTGTCTGCATTCATCCCCGAGCACAAACACACAAAAACAGACAAGTAACGGCAAAAGTATGTCAACAACAAAATAGCATAATTAAAGTGTAATACGGGCTTTACCTGACTAACATGTTTCCACTCTTCTGACAATGGGCCTAAATGATTCGAATGCTGAAAACAAGCAACCAGTGAAGGACTGCAGCGAAATATAGATTGTGACAGGCCTTCGTACAGCGTGTTTACCAAATTAGCAGGTGTTTAGAAAAGATTTACACGTCTTAAAAGCCTCTCTACCTACAGGACCATAAACACAAATGCCTCTCAGTGCCACTTTAAAAAAAGATATCAAAATACCTCACTCTTGAAGCTCAGTTATGAACTTACATTAGGTGGTTTGAGCTGGTTGATGATGGTAGTTTTGCCGCTGTTGTCCAGTCCAAGACACAAAACGTTGACCTCTTTCTTCTTCAGGCCGAGCCAACCCGTCAGTTTATCCAACAACCCCATTACACTCAGCTGATGCTATGCCAATTAATTTTTCAACACATCACCCCATAGATGGTCTGATTACTGGGAATTAAATGTGTTCAGACTAGCAAAAAATAATGATAAACATAGCCGTGAATGTTCCTAGTACATGCCATGAATAGAGCCGCAAGCTGAGATGCTCCCTGGGCATCCCAGCTTGTGCAAGGTAATCCTATTAGGACGAATTAAGCTCGGTGAACCACCCGGCGACCTGATCATGAGGAGTATGGAGCTTCCCAGGCCCCCCGGCCTGATGCATTTGATTTATTACTCAAACGCTCTGGAGGCCCCCACCCGCCTCAGATCTGGGCCCCCCTTGAAGGTGCAAAAACACATGCAAACAACAGCAGTTTATCATCAGCATCCTCTGCTCACTTAATGACGGCAGCCAAACTCTGTCATGCTTTACAATCTAATTAAATCCATCTGTTAGAGAATACTGTAGTTGAAAAAAATACAGAAAATAGGATATCTAAAATTTCACATTATTTGGCCACATTAATCTCATATAGAAGCATATTCTAAGACCTGAAATGTAAATTTTAATTAATTTAACATTCAATGGAACAATTCAGAAATGAGCACTCCTCTCAGCAGAAAGTATATAGCGTACCCAATCTGAAAATTATGCACGTAGTCTTTATTTTTTATTATTATCTAAGTAGTTAATATTTTAATCTTCTCATATAACAGTTTTGAAGCTGCTGAGTGGTCCAACAGCTCCATCTTTTGGTTATCAGTACCTTGTAAAATGTCAGGATAATTGCCTAGTTTAAAGAGAAAAGTCACATACATTTGACAATAACTTAAATGCAGATTAGAGAGATGGAGCTTAGTCCTTGAGCTTTGTTAAATCACGTTATCTTCACTGAGAGGACAGCCTGTCCTGTCTGACCGAAGAGACATTTTCCTTTCCTCGAGCCGCTCTGCGTCTCATTCAAGTGATAGTGAATGAAAACGAACCAAATGAAATGAGCAGTCAACCACCAGAACTGTTCATGTTTATTTGCAAATAAATATTCGCTGTAACTGCCTCTTACAGTGTGCAAGATCTACAACATCTCTTTGGAAATCATAGAAAAATAAAATACAAGAATTATAAGTATACTTGTACTTTGTACAAAAGAACGTTCTAACATTGCTCAGCAGTAGAACATGCTAAACAAACAGCATCTGATATTCCCCATATTCTGTAGAGCGGCGGTGACTGCGAGCGTGTGTGTGTGTGTGTGCGCGTTTGAATGTGTGCTGTGCGTGCACCTTTCCTGCTCCTGAAGGCCTGGATGCATGACTGCGCCGTGACCGAAAGGCACAGATCTTTGTATCCAGTTTGCCCTTGACATTAATCATTGAGCTCCAATTCTTATTAAAACCCACAGCTGTAGATGGGAGGTTATTCTCATACAATTCAGACTAATGGCTAGGTCCTGTGACTGCACTGAAACTTATAAACGGCTTGCATGGTCCGCAGACTGTAAGGCATTCTGTGTCTGTTTGTGTGTTTTTGAGCATTTGTGTTTGTTACTGTCGATGTTACAATGACACATGATGAGTTATGATGCTGCTGTTTATGTTGGTTCTCCCTCTCTGGCGAACACATCTGTCCTAACCTCACGTAACTAAGACTACTGACGTTTTTCACACCGATTTCCATTAACCAGCTTTTAGCTACTTCTGCTGCCTCCAGCTCTAAGTACTTTTATTCTTCACCACTGCATATTCTCAGCTGACTTAAGAGTATGAAGAAAATGTTCATCTCAATGGCAAACATCCAACAACATGACATCTACTGCCAGTTTGAAATTAGGCTATGTTTATGTACACAGTTTTCCCATATCACAATCTTTACACCATCACAATTACTCCATCTGGTGATCTTGCGCCCCAGATGAGCTATTCTCTGACATCATGGATCAGCTTTGTCTCTGAAGTGCAAACCTCTGTCAGTACTGTCTGTGTGAGTGTGTGCAAGAAAAAAAAAAACAATAACGGCATGGAAGAATTTCATCATATAAGTCCCTGTTAAGTTTCCAACCAAACGTCTCTCCTCTATAGCTAAGCTCTGTGAACATTCATATATTAAGACAGTGGAGATTCGTGTACTTTCAGGCAATGTATGACATTCA